CTTTTTAAGCGTAAATTTCCTTTAGTATTCGGGAAACCAAGAATGCAATTCACGGCGCGTGTGCCCGGTGGGCAGGGGATGCTCACTCCTCCATGGCACCTGATACCACCTCTGATGTTTAAGAGGTCCGTGTTCGCTCTGCTCCAAAATTTGTATTAATTATTGTTTAATGGACTTTCGGGCTTGAATGATGTTCGTTATCTCCATATATTTCACTCACGTGATTTGTACCTCATTTAGTCTGACACCAGAAAGTATGGTGTCCTTTGCTAGAATGTTTGATCTAAAAGTAATTTTATTATATAACTGCAAAAATATATATAAAAAAGAATTACTGATTGAAGAAGTTTCAAAGAATTATAGAGAGAGAATAAGGTACATTTCCAGTGATATTTTTCAAAGGGAAAAACTGAAACGTAACAAAACTAGATTTCTGTTACTTACAGTCTCGCTGTAGTCGCACTAAATCTCGAAAGAGATAAGTATTCGTACTTCTCAGGTATAACAATTTGCTAAACACAAAAAATAAAAAAAAAAATCCGAACACATAAGTAGGGGTGTATCGGTGAATACAAATCTCATGTTGATTCTATGGCCCAAGACATAAGACAGAGGTGTAAATACCATAAAAAATATTGTAATGTAAAAAAGATAGTTGGCCATTTAAATTTTAAAATATTTAAGTAATATTGTGATGTCGCACTCAATCTAACAAAAAAGTAATATTGTGATGTCGCACTCAATCTAACAAAAAAGTAGACAAGAGTCAATAGTGTCGTTTAAAATCAGCATTTCGTATTAAGTTCTATGGTCGATGCAATGATCTTGTCAGCAAATACAATCTATCATTAATTATGTCATATGCTGACTAACGTTCTTCATACTTATTGTTAGGCCAATATTTACATACTGAATTGCTGACGGTTTTTTCCGTTATTTACTGAACATGACAAGGAGCAGACGGCGGGTGTGACCGGTCAGCAGGGGATGATCACTCCTCTGTGGTACCTGATCCCACCTGTGATATTTTTGGAGGTCTGTGTTTGCTCTGCTCGCGATTTGTATTGTTTTAATGTACTTTGAGCTTGAATACTGTTCGTCATCTCCATATTTCATGCAAAGTTATGCTCGTTCGCAATATCCTTAAAGTGCTGATCATCCTTGGCAAAACATTCTGAACGTGGCACAAACTACCTATTATTATTTATGTACGAGCACATTGTATTAACTTTCTTGTCAAATTTCTAATTAACATTACAACTTTCACAAGCCTCCCTTTATTCAAAATTCTGAAAATCCTTTAAAATGTCTGAAAACATATATATAAATGGAAGAGAACTATAGCTGTTCCTGCATGTTTACTGTCATATTTTTAATGTATCTGGTTATACCCTACAACTCATACACGGATCAACCAAATCCACGTGTCTTTAATTTAAATCACAATAACTTTTGCAAGGGTGTATTGTATTTAACACTTAAAAAGTTAAAGTGGACTGATGAATATATCTATACTGTGAAAGTAAAAATAAATAGAAAGGAATTCTTCAAAGAAGGACATTGTTTCTAGGTCAGGTAATGTAGATGATATATACCTCTGTATGGAGAGCTATGAGAATACGTCGCACAGTGCTGAGTCGTATGATCTGAAATCAAAAGATGACTAGTGACGACAAGGGATATATATAATGTTCAATGAAATGATAAGAAGCAACAAATCTAGATAGATAGATAGATAGATAGATATAGTTATCTCTCTGTTTGTAAGTCGGTAATGACAAGTTATTCGCCCTTTAATGTGCGATAATTCAGTATGATTGTGCCTTCAATAATAACCTTTCTATGACATGTATATATGCCTATATTCTTTGTACTGTAAATAAACTTACCTGCCCAACCCTGATAATGCAGATCAAATGCTTTAGTACAAGAGCACTTTTCATCTGTACCATTTGGAAAAAGCGCTGTAGTAAAGCAAAATAATAGCAATATTTTAAGAAATATTCCGCATGAGTTGACAATAAAATATTTAAGTGGGATATGGGATTGTTAAGCTTCAGTGCTTAAAATTACAATGTTTAATTGAATCAGTTTGAAATAGGTTTCATTTTAGTTTCATTAGCTGTTCTAAAACATTTCTAGAATCGATACTTTTTTGAATTGGAAAGAGATATGTGAAGCATTCTGATTGGACGTGGGGCGGATCATCCAAAAATAATATTTCCACTAAAATTTTCTACAAGATTTATACATATATCTTTGTGAAGCTTAACCTGACAAGAAGATACTCCACAAATAAAATTCTCTTTGCTGATCAATAGCTACAATATTAGCAGTTTTTATTTGTTGTTTAAAGTCCCTCTCGAGAATTTTTCACTCATATGGAGACGCCACCACTTGCCGGTGGAGGGCTGCAAATTTTTACCTATACTCGGCACTCAGGACCATTGAGTAGTGAGGGATCTTTTTCGTGCCGACAACTACTGCGACACACAGGACCTCGATTTATAGGTCTCATCCGAAGGACCGGTCTCCACGTCCCGAAGTGGATTCGAACCCGCGACGTAAGGATCAGCTCCTTACTCCGCGACTCTAGAGCGAACGCTCTAACCACTGCTCTACGCGGGCGACAATTAGCAATTTTAAATAAATCTCAAAGTACATATACAACTATACCAATGAATGCTTAGTGAAATTACTTATTATAGTATAATTGCTCTAGAGATGACCTGTAAAGAATGCATATTGTTCCCTACAGGCCATGATTACAGAAAACAAATCCTTGGAATATTAATACATTAATACGTTTAAATAAATTCACGTTCTTCTTTATGAATTTCAGGGAAAAAAAAACAAGATTCTGTAGTATTTCTTTACATTGGTAGCTTTAAAAAAGTTAACTAACCATCAAAAGATTTGCAGTTTTAAAAAGAAAGTCACTTCTTAAATTCAGATTTTATAATCCTTGTTATATACCCGGTAGCTATAGAACAATAAGTTCTATATAGCCTTATCTATTTTAAAATTTGATAGCAAAACATTCATACCTGCCATCTGTTTTACAACCGCTTCCCTGTTCAAGCCATGTGGATATCCAAATTCAAAATAAAGGAACGACCATACTAGAATAAGGGAAAAGACATTATCTTGCATACATATCTGACAAACTGAATATAAAGCATTTTCATACGTCTAGAATACAGAATGAAATATTGATAAGCAACATCGACACATAGATTCTTAGGCCAACTTAAAAATAATGTTTGTTTGCCCTCTCCCGACTCAGGATGGAAAAAATTGGGTATTGAATTGAATAAGAACTTTGTTTTATTTTTTCCTGTTGTTATTTCCTTTGCAAATTTGAGCAATAAACATTGTATTTACAGCTTATAAGTGTCTAAATGTAAGATATAGACTAATTCAATATTTGCGTTTCCAGCACACAAATAAATCGAAAAATGGCACGATGATTTTTTTTTTTTTGGTAAGAAACCCCTAAATTTTGTCAATACCCTGGCAAAAAGCGACAAATATCTGATCTTAAGTTAACTGGATTTCAATATAAAAATATAGTAAATAATTTGATAATTCAGTTTAGTATGAAAGTTCGATGTATTATAAAATTTTGCTAAAAATAATTCACCTAGGGTTTCTACTTTTTCGGGTGGAATGAAGTTTAATATTTATAAAATTTGTCGGTAGATAGAGGATGAATTGTATAATTGGTGGATAAAGGATTTACATTATCATCTTCATAATCATCATCATTGTATTTAAAAGTTTCCTTCATCAAACACGAGGTTAATAAGGTACCACCATATGCAGAAAAAGCATACCCGTGTGTTCACTAAGACATTCTCCATTCCTATAAGCCTCGTATTCTGAAAAACAAAAACAAAATCAAAATAAACTACCTAAATATACATATATTTCAATACTTTTCAATATAATATTTTGAATATTTTTCAAGTGCTCAAGGAGAATTAATTTAATGATAAGTATACAAGAAGTATGTTTTTAAAATATCTTTGATAGATAAAGGAGTTTTTCAAATACACATGTAAATTATATATTAGCTATATACGTTTTACATGTAGTAATGTGAAATCACTAATTTTCGTGGGGTTTACTTTTCGCGGTATAAAGATACCCACGAAATCATGTGGTCCACGTAATGTAAATTTTTGAATGTATAACAACATAGTATTTCTTCAACCACGAAATCAAATCCCCTTGAACCAACATATTTTCCTCAAACTACGAAAATCTGACCCCATGAAAATACGTGTTTTTACAGATGTGATATACTTCAATTCAATATTTCTCTGATTGAGCGAATTATGCCATGTGCATCTACGTATTTGTTGAAGCGGGAACAAATTCAGCTTGTGATAAACAGAAGAATACTTTCTTATTCAAAAATGAATATAATACTCACTTTCACTCGTTGAGAGTTCGTGGCTTGGGAAATGTGTAACTTAAATATAAAATATTAATCAAGTAACAAACGAATATGAAATTATATTATGAATTGTGACTTTCTGTGAAAGGACAATAACATAAGACAAATAATAAATAAATTTACTTTAAAATCAATTTTTCAGGAATTTACTTTTATATATCATTTTTTGAATCCTCTCAAAAGGGAATACGTTGCAATACATACCATGAGTCTGTGTAGTGGTACCTTGACAGGCTCTAAAGCAGTTTGGTTCATGGTTATGATTATAAGCAGCTGCAACAAACCTTTTTAAAATGGTATACAGTATACAAGCAATATAATTTTACTTTTTTGGATACAAATATTTTGATGTAACATCATTGTGACTTTAATTTGATGAAAAGTAATAATTTTTATGATCTTGAACAGCTTTAGAAAAATTGAATTTATCCTAGGCATAATTTACATTCCTCCAATTAAAATCAAAATCGAGATTGTATGTCATTAATCGGTATAATGTCCCCTATGATTAAGTTAATTGAAAAATAAGTGTTGATACCGTTCATATGAGAGATAAAATCATCTAAGCATCGGGTGCCCATATTGCTCAAGCGGAGAAGATCTTTCCAAACTGAAAAAAAAACATCCAATATAATTGAGTTAGAATAAAAAAAATACATTTTAACTGATCCAGGGTTGAAAAAGTTTATGGTCAACATAAATGTTTGGCCCATTAAAATAGTTTTCAAATCCAAAGTCACACGGATAATACAGCATAATGCAACTTATAAACGGGTAAAAGCGATGTTTTAATGACTGAGACAATCAATCAATGACTTAGGCTTACAGTTATTTCTTTATATTTTCAAAACATTCATTTAAAAACCAATTAGGATTAGAAAAAAAGAGTGCATACTATTTCGCAATGAGCTATGTTCATGATCACTAACTCCATAAAATGGCCCTGTTGATATATCATTTAACTGACCAAGTCCCAATGTCCCATTTCAAGCATCAATATAAAGTAGAGACTTGGTACTTTCATTTACTATAAAAAAGTTTCCATTCAGAGTTCAGGTATTGAAAAAATAGCTTTGTGAAATTGTAATATCATTGAATTTTGACGAAAATGGGTGTATTTGAGCACCTTCGGCAAAGGATTAAAATATGAGCCCACCCTGCGATCCAAAAAATAAAACATGCATTATAATCTTCTAAAATAGTACTTTCATTATATAATTCAACATTTTAGATCAGAGGTGCAAAATATTGAGAAATAGTTTAAATTTTTGGCCATTTTTGAAGAATTTTTCAGGATTTCATGACGTCATAATGCATGAACTGGCGAGAAAATTACGTCAATTTCAATAGACATGCAGTCAGCAAGGGTCCAAGTAAAATTTAATGTATTTTCAAGAAAATCTGATCATTTTTATTTTTCAGAAATTCACAGGGCCAAAAAGGTCTTAAGTGAACCTTGTTCTTTGACAATTCTACGGGATGACGTAAAGAGACATAGATTAGAACAATATCCACTTTCGTTACTGTAAACATTGACCCCAATGATAGCAAAAATGTTAATTTTACTTTACTATGTTCCTTCAAAATTCAAACAAGTAGACACTGAGAAAGAGATTATCCCCAATCTTTAAGATATAAAAATAATTTTAAAACATCTCAGAACTCGTAACATCTTTGAATCAAGTACATACATTTCTGAATTGTCTTTATTTATGCATTGTATCCATCTATTCGAAAACATTTTTAAAGCCAAATCCCCGTATCATATTTTTGTTTTATGTCATATCTAATTCATTTTGCTGAAAGACAGAAGGACAGGTAAAACAGGTGCAAACACTTTTTTTTCATTTTACTTTCGTTGACAGAGTAAATAACATTTCAACATTTTCAAAATTGCTTCATTTAACAAACAATTGTAATCATATAAACAATAATCAACTTCAATATAAATCCGAGATAGGTACATAATTAAATTTGCATTTTCCAATACTGTTTCAATGCTTCAAGAAACCCTGAACCCACCTTTATTACGAGTCTGGCACTGTATGGTTGCACCAGTGAAATGGGAAGGTAGATCAGTGAAGTAAGTGTTCATAATCTCTAGACGAAATAAAACAAACTGGTTTATATGCTCTGATTATTTAAAGAATATACAAAACTGTAAAGATGCCCATTCTCTATCATTAAATACCTTGGAAGTTATGGTCTTGTCTACAACTGTTGGAATAGGTACCTGCATGTGAAAGAGAATATTAATCAGGAATTTTAATTTTGAGATCAATCAAATTCATTGAAATGTTGTTAAACTTTTCAAAGCCTTTTTCCAATGTTTTATAAATGAAAAACTTTTCTTAAGATTGCTTGAGATTTATTTCAAATATGAATCACAAATAATTATTTTATTAAACTTATATACAGTTACATTTATTCAAGTTCAGAATAATTTTATATATTTGAAATACTCTTTTCCCCTTAGCGAACAAAATGAAATTATGTATGAAACGCATTGTAACTGTAATGTATGGGAAAAGTTTTTAAAAAACCAAATTGTTATACTTGATCATATAACTTACACTAGAGGTACTGTGAGCATTTATATGTGGCTCAAAATATGACACCCCAAACTCCCATATAAGTATGACGACAAAGTGCATTTTTTTGGTAGTATGTAAATGAGATTCTGTGAAAGTTCCATTTCATTCAGGGGTTTAGGAGGAGTTTCTTTGACAAAATGGTTACCCCTTTATCTAGTATAATGGTAAAGTTCATGTTTTGCTACGAAAAAAAACCCCAAATATCTGTCTGATCGAAATGTAAAATAGGAGGTGACGATATGTCACTATGTATTAAAAATCCAGTGAAAGTTTCAGTGGTATAGGAGGAGTTTCGGATTTGAGATGGGTGCCCCCAATATTATAGAAAGAATGGCAGTGTCCATGATTTGCTATGGGAATCTCCATATACATGTATGTCTCCGATCAACACATAAAATGTAAGATACACATTGCAGCTATGTAATTAAGATTTTGTGAAAGTTTCACTAAATTGCAATCCGTAGTGGTGTAAAGGGAGTTTCGGATAAGGGGCTACTACCTTAGTGTAATTGACGGACGGACACCCCATCACCATATACCCCCACATTTTAGGAGGGGGTATAATAATAAATCAATTTTAATGTTGTCATTATGAAAGAACTTGCTTTTTGTTCTCATATAAACTTACTAGTTTTTTGATACGGATAAAATATATGTCTACTTGAGCAAGTACAGCTGGGCAGATTGAGACCTGGAAAGAAAAATCACGATGACGTAATAGAGTATCACATATAAATAAATACGGCTGGACTTTTTCACTGAATGTCAAGTAACTTCAAAATCATACTGGAGGAATTAAATTATTGCTGTTATAATAGCATCGCCACCCTGGACACAAAGGCTTTAAGATACAGAAGTTTGTGTATCTGCTGTACACAGTAATGCAGTTTTCGAGTATTGGAAGGTAGGTACTTACTTGCCATTTTCTTCACTAATGTTGTTGCACAAATATGATCCGTTTTCCGCAGATAATCCAAATGATGGAACACTAAAAAAAGTTACGATTAAAGGAACAACATAACAACAGTACATTCACAATGTGTGAACTACTACATTTGTCTCAATTATTGACATAACTGCATGCAATTTTAAAAACAATAATCGGACTACATGTATGATAATTTATGCATATAAAAAAAAACTTTTGACAGATTTATTTATTGTATGACCTTCACTCATGCATTAAACATTCTACCTTCGAAAAAGAAGTATATTTTATCACTTACAAGGTCTTCACTATTTTTTCCAGAGGTAGTTATACATGTTTTTTGCAAAAAATTCCAAACAATCAATACATTACCCGAATAAGGTGAAAAGCAGTTCTCCTTTTCTGCATTGTTGAAAACGTCTGAAAATATATGAAGAGTAGTTCAAGCAACAAAATATTCAAAGATGAATAATTAGGGAAAAAACCTTATACACGTATTTGAAAACAATTTCCGGCTCTGGGGATTCACTTTTTCATTTGGTACATGGAGCTCAGACTCGATTATCCTAAATGATACAGCAAATAAACAGATATATGCTCGACAAGTCTATACATTTTACAAATGTCCAGAACCAACACCTGTGTCATTCATTTTGTCTGGCAGCATAGACTACTAGATTTCACAAGTCTGTCAAAAGTGGTCTGCAACTTTTCTTTTTTCTCAATCTATCAAAGCTGGAAAGAAGCATTATTAAATACTTTGTCTAGAACAATTGTTCATAGAGAATTCTTCATAATTATGTTTAAAGTTTCTATTTCAGTAACTCTCTTTAATGGGTTGATGTTTTATTTCTCATATGTTGCTATATACATACTATTTGATGTTTCAGAGAAAAATGATCGACTTAGTAAGGAATTTTGACTTGTGTACATGAAATGGTTTCATGGTAATGAATATTTCTTCCGATTCTTAATGTTCCCCAAATATTTAGGATTATAATTGTGCAACACATTATTCCTGGATTTCTACAGATCAGCTGATTCTCACCTCTGTAGTATGTGTGATTATGGAGGCATACATTATGTTGATCTACATGTGTTGTAGAGGTCTGCACAGAAGAAGTAACCACTGATCCAACAGTACTGTGGGAATTTTGTCCGTGGGAAATGTGGACTATGTGGCCAAACAAAGCTTGATCACATTCTACGTTTGAAAATAAAGTAAAATATATTTGTAGAGTAAAAAATGCATATCTGTTTATCTATACCTATCTATCATAAATATATATATATATATATATATATATATATATATATATATATATATATATATATATATATATATATATATATATATATATATATATATATATATAATGTTTTACAGTATCGTCGATTTTATGGCTATTGAAAGCTTATTTCTTCAGTGCAACAATTTTAAGGTCTGCATGATATTACAAACTTGCGAACTACATCTCTTCAAATTGCTCTACTAAAAGTAGTGAAGAATTGGATGAAACTGGTAGGGCTGGGACGATATATCGATAATATCGATTCAAAGTGAGGATGACACACATATCAATATGTATGAAGAAATATCGAAATATTACAAAAAGATTTCTAAATTATGTTTTTCTTTGTTTACTTGACACTTTGGGTTAAATATATAATATTAATATGCTAAATATTAATATAAATATGAAATACATAATGATTAACACCAATTGTGTAAAATTGTTTTCTTTCAAAACAGATATACAACTTCTTTGAATAAATTATTCTTATTTGCGAAGAAATGTTTTGTTCATTTCAATACAAAAAAGAAGTGTTTGTGAAACACTGATGCCCCCGTATGGCAACTTATAGCAAAGGTTAAACTTTCTCAAATGCAAATTAAATATCTTGGTACCCAAAGTAAGGTCTTGTCTCGAGGAATATACCTGTGAAATATGAAAGCCCTAGCAGCAACCATTGAATAGATTCGAAAAGGTTAAAGTTTTTTCAAAAGTATGTCAAACATCAAGGTCAAGGTCAAATGGTCAAAATTAATGGTGCCCAAGGAAAGACCTTCTCCCAAGAAATACACAGGTGAAATATGAAGGCCGAAGCACCAATCGTTCAAAAGTTATGACCAAGGTTAAAGTTTTTCAAAAACAGGTCAAACTCCAAGGTCAAGGTCAATGGATTACAATTGTTGGTATCCAAAGGAAGGACTTGTCACAAGAAATAGACAGGTTAAATATGAAAGCCCTAGCACCAACTGTTCAAAAAATCTGTCTAACTTCAAAGTGTTCCAAAAGTAGATCAAACTCCAAGGTCAAGGTCAAAGGGTGAAAGTTGTTGGTATCCAAGGGAAGGTCTTGTCATAAGTATTACACATGTGAAGTATGAGAGCCCTAGCACCAATGGTTCAAAAGTTATGGCCAATGTTAAAGATTTTCAAAAGTAGGTCAAACTCCAAGGTCAAGGTCAAAGGGTCAAAGTTGTAGGTATCCAAAGGAAGATCTTATCACAAGGATTACATATGTGAAGGATGAAAGCACTAGCACCAACCATTCAAAATATATGGCCAATGTTAAAGTTTTTCAAAAAGTAGGTCAAACTCCAAGATCAAGGTCAAAGTTGTTGGTATCCAAAGGAAGGACTTGCCACAAGGATTACATATGTGAAGTATGAAAGCCCTAGCACCAACAGTTCAAAAGTTATGGCCAAGGTTAAAGTTGGGTAAAATTTTGCAAAACTGGGTCAAACTCCAAGGTCAAGGTCAAAAGGTCAAATATGGTGGTACCCAAAGAAAGGTCTTGTCACAAGGAATACACATATGACATATGAAACTCATGTCTTTAACCAATCAAAAGTTATGGGCAATGTTAAAGTTTTTGCGGACAAACAGACAGACAGACGGACGGACGGACAGGGCAAAAACTATATACCCCCGAATCTTCGATACGGGGGCATAAAAAACATTTTATAATCAATTCAACATATCGTGATACATATCGTATCGTGGCTCAAATATCGTGATACGTATCGATATAGAAAAAGTAGTATCGTCCCAGCCCTAGAAACTGGGCTTGATGTGTTATATTGTGTTATATTTCACACTGAATGTATTTTTCAGTATTTTCACACCGAAATATAAGACGGTGTTATATTTCACACTGAATGTATTTTTAAATTGTACTGTGTACTACTCACCTGACCTTTGTTCTGTGTGTATGTTGCTTGGTATGTTCTCTAGCACACATGAGACAGGACTCAGATATGCCCCGGGAGGACATGGCCGGAGTAAATTCTGAGTCACCTCTACATAACATCTAATATCGACGTAAGGACGCATGTTACCGGAACAGCATTCAGTCACTAAATGTAAAAGACTGCAAGTTTAACTATAGAAAGACCAATTGATAAAAAAAAATACTGTCCATAAATGAAAAAAGTGCATATCTGGGACACGTCAGGCTTACAAGCCTGACAACTTAAAAATTAAACTGAACTTAACTCGCTTAAGCAACCATAATACAGATGGAAATATATTCTGTACTATAATTTCATGGACTCTTGTTTCTCGTTTTCCATGGCAATCAGTGCCAACTAGTTTTTAACTCCACAATCCTTGGTTGTTTTACTTTTTCAAAGTGTAGTGAACATGTGGTTTTCTTTACTGAAGGATGATCACATTCATTTTCATATATTTTTTCTTTCGTTCTTATAAGAATTATATACGTTGATATAAATTTAAGTCATTTGATTTTGAAATAATTTAAACACCTACGTGATATGCACAGTATCCAGATGGTAAGTACTAGGATCCAAGGTCTCATGTTCGGCCTCACTAGGTAACAGTAAGCATGCTCAATTTTAAAGATGAAATGATCAGAGTACTTTTATTTTGTGCATTAATGTACGTGGCTTTGCACTGCCAAAGACATCCCATTTTAAAACATTATATCAACACACGAAATACATTATTATAGATCGATACATCAACCCGACTTTGCTGACATAATAGAATGTTTTATAACAGCATAGTGCAACATTTTGCATGTTATGTTGAAATATTAGAAAATAAGGAATTACGTAGACTGTCCATTAAAATATATACCTGACATATTTAGCCCTTTCATGTTATAAAGTTTTGTCCAACAACACGGTAGTACAAATACGTTGGTTAGCATGATCTCCTATTATATAAATATTGCATGTAGTTGAGTGTAACATTGAAAATTTTCACCCCAAGAAAACCATTGTTAACCGAGGCGCAGCCGAGGTTGACAATGGTTTTCGAGGGGTGAAAATTTTCAATGTTACATTCAACTACATGCAATATTTATTATATTATACTGAATGTTTTATACAAATACATATAACAGCGAACCTTGCGCGCTTAAATTCTGCGCAGTCACTATTTTTTGGAATATCACCCGTTGTCAAGCAATGTAGACTGTTGTTACGCTGGAGGGCGTGGCTTCATCATTCAGCGGGTAATAATGTTTTTTAACAAATGTTTCTCGACGAATCAGATTCAACTTATTTACATGAATAATATATACAGATATGTTTTTGTCACTTGCCTAGTGCTACATGTACAATTAAGTACACACAGACTTAGATATACAAAGTGGCTATATGCCACTTGTCACTAATAACAATAAGTTAACCTTGCTCTCTGTGATTTTTTGTTCCCTTTGATAAAGTATAAAACAACTGTATCCAGTCTCTTGTCAACCTTGCCTCTTCTACCAGTGACAATAATTCAGATCACCAGTGTAAACATGCTGTGTTCAACTACAACTTTTAATAAATATATGAATAATCTTTATGTCAATCTTTTATACTGCTTTCCAGGCAAGAATCTGACTTTGAGCATGCTTTGCTCATTTAGATCAAACATTCATTTTTATTTTGTTTCTATATATATAACATTCTTTCTTGTATTCTCAATCAATCAAATAACCTGTTAATTAAATTATATACAAGGATTTCTTGATTAACAACATCTACAAAAAGGGAGTAACTCTCATTTGCTTCACTTATCATAATTGTGTACTCTGTTTGCAATTGCCTCCTAGATACCCAGAAGCAAAGAAAAGGCACATTTACTCATAATTATATTTTTATAAATTTACATTGATATTATTGCATTTAGTTTGTTTTCTTAGTACTCAGGGGCAGAGGAGAAGATTTTCAAAGCATTAATGCATTTTTCTAATTAATCATCAGAGCCCCACCCAAGCACAAGAACACCTGACCAAGGGGCCATGAAATTCACAACTTTGGAAGAGGCACCCTTTCTCATCATAACTATGTATTGAGTTTGTTTAATTAATACCAAGGGACATAGGAGACAATTTTCAAAGCAATAATTTATTTTCAGTATATAATAAATAAACCCCCCATGGAACCCCTAACCCAGGGGCCATGAAATTCACAATTTTGAAAGAGGCACTCTTCTTTATCATAACTATGCAATTAATTAATCGGCTTAATACCCAGGAACATAGGAGAAGATTTTCAAAGAATTCATGCGTTTTCACTATATAATAATTAGAGCCCCGTCCTAACACCAGAACCCCTGACCCAGGGGCCATGAAATTTGAAGAGGCACTTTTCCTTATCATAACTAGGTACTTAATTCATCGGCATAATAACCAAGGAGCATAGGAGAAGATTTTCAAAGAATTCATGCATTTTCTATATGATATAATCATTAGATCCCCGCCCTAACACCAGAACCCCTGACCCAGGGGCCATTAAATTCACAATTTTGGAAGAAGCACTCCTGCTCATCATAACTATGTACTTTGTTCATCGGCTAAATACCTAGGAGCAGAGAAGAAGATTTTTAAGGAATTAATGCATTTTCACTATATAATCATTAGAGCCCCCTCAGAACCCCTGACCCTGGAGCCATGAATTTCACAATTTAAGTAGAGGGCTCATGCTTATTACAATCATGCCAACAGTTTGACTGCTTGATGTTCAGGAGTAAAGAAGAAGATTTTTAAAGATGGCATAAATTTTGATGGTTTTAGCCCCACCCCTCAGGCCCCACGGGGGCAGAGGGCATGAATTTCACAATATTTACTCCCATTCACCCATAGATGCTTTTTGCCCAAATTGGTTGAAATTGGTTCAGTGG